GAAAGCCAGGATCCTGAAGAGCCAGGAGATATCATAAATTCTGGGGGAAGGTAGTGGTGGAATGGCTGAAAATTGGGACTTAGAATATCTTCCTAATAACTTAGCTTGGGGCTGAAATCACTGTACACAGCTGATTTTTCTGCACTAATTTTTCTTCAGCATAGTAAGAGAAGTATCTGTCTACAGTGAATATAGAGATGATCAACTAAGCCTTCACATTGAAGTAATCTGGGAAAACATCTAGGAAGTGTTAATGCCCTGCCCCACTGCAGATCAATTGAACCAAAGCCTCAGAAGAAGACATGTTATTTTTAAAAGCTCCCCAGATGATTCTTGTATACTGCAGGATTAGAAACTACTAATCCAATTGATTAAGAAAGTGAATGCAAACCAAAAATTCTCAGAAGTTGTAGTTAAGAAATTCGTCTCTATCCATGTATTCAATATGATGTTCCTAAAGACTGATGACTCTGTGGTAAAGTGAAAGTGGTAATCTTTTTCTGGAATAAATAAAGAACTCTAATTAATCAATCAGAACAGAAATACAATGTAATAGAGCACTGGATGATGGATATGACATACTATTCAGAATTGAAGAAAAAAGTGTCCAATGAAATTATTATAAGATCCTCAATCTCACTGGTAATCAAGGCAATGATATTTTACACTAAAATATTTCATTGTCATAGATGTGGCATATATTTGAGAGCTTAAAGAGTTTAACTATATCTTAGTAAGAATATTGGGAAAATGAATACATTTATACTTTTGGTTGAAATACAGGTTGTTAAAAATTGGTGGAAATTTTGATGAATTATATTGAATTAAATATGTAAATGCCATAAAAGAGAGTGATTGTATTCCTGTAAAAATACTCTGTAAAAATATTTAACACATTCACTCAAGATGTTCAGTATAAGAATATGTGTCCTATTGTAACAGAGAAAATCTAGAAATAACCTAAATCGTCATAAGATATTAGGTATATATTTTGTTATATTCATACAAATGAATTAAATAAATGAACAATGGATACATATGTCAGCATAGATATATCTCATATACAAATAGGAGTGTTTGAGTGTGTGTACGAAAGTGAAACTATTAGTCGCACAGTTGTGTCCAACTCTTTGGAACCCTATGAACTGTAGCCTGCCAGATTCTTTTGTTCATGGAATTCACCAGGCAAGAATACTGGAGTGGGTTCCCATTCCCTTCTCCAGAAATTCATGTATGTGTGTGTGTGTGTATATATATATATATATATATATAAAATTATATACATTAGCTCATGAAAGAGGTATTACCCAGGTACCACAGAGTGTTTGATCTATCAAGGTGCAAAACGATGGTATCAAGAAAGAGTAATGGAAGATTAAGTATATCTTAATACTTTATTTCTTGAAAAAAAATTGAAGCAAGTGTTGAAAATTGTTAGGATTTCTTTTAACAAGTGAATTTTGTAATTATTTTCTGTGTTTGGGATGTTCATAATCAAATATACTTTTAAAAAACAGTTTTGGACAGTTCCTGGAGGAAATTAAAAATCAATACTATTCTTAGTGCAGCAGTGTCCTGCGGGTTCAGCATAATGAATATGTGTGAGGGGAGCCCAGCAACATCAATGTTAGTTTACGGAGATGCCACAGAACATTGGGATTTTTTGCTTCTCTTAAGTTTCAGTGATCTTTGCTGAAATTTTATTCACACTAAAAATTAAGATTCTTGGGTGAGGATTTTTGTCTGTTTTGTTTATCATAAGTAATGCATTAACATTTCCTGGCTCATAATTATTCCTTAAATATTTTCTGAATAATAATACTCTATTTTGTTTGCATTGAAAGTCTCCAATTTCATATACTTATGTGAAAAGTTCTGCTAGTAGAAAGGCATGCACATTTTTAAAAACAATATCATAGGTATACTGTCAAGTGACATTTAAAAGTAACAACTAGCTTGTTCCAATTTGTAATCAATGAACTCCATGAACAGTTCTGTGATTATCTGTAGTTCAGTTGCTCAGTTATGTCCAATTCTTTGCTACCCCATGGACTGCAGCACGCCAGGTTTCCCTGTCCTTCACCATCTCCTGGAGCTTGCTCAAACTCACGGTCATTGAGTCAGTGATGCTATCCAATCATCTCATCCTCTGTCATCCCCTTCTCCTGCTTCCAATCTTGTCCCCCATCAGGGTCTTTTCCAAAGAGTCAGTTCTTCCATCAGGTAGCCAAAGTACTGGAGCTTCAGCATCAGTCCTTTCAGTGAATATTCGGGACTGATTTTCTTTAGCATTGACTGGTTTGATCTTGCAGTCCAGGGGACTCTCAAGAGTCTTCTCCAACACCACAGTTCAAAAGCATCAATTCTTTGGCGTTCAGCTTTCTTCATAGTCCAACCCTTGCATCCATACATGACTACTGGAAAAACTGCAGTTTTGACTATATGAACCTTTGTCGGCAAAGTAATGTCTGCTTTTTAATATATTGTCTAGGTTGGTCATAGCTTTTCTTCCAAGGAGCAAGCATCTTTTAGTTTCATGGATGCAGTCATCATTTTCAGTGATTTTGGAGCCCAAGAAAATAAAGACTATCACTGTTTACATTGTTTCCCCATCTATTTGCCATGAAGTGATGGGACCAGATGCCATGATCTTAGTTTTTTGAATGTTGAGTTTTAAGCCAGCTTTTTCACTCTCCTCTTTCACCTTCACCAAGAGACTAGTTCCTCTTTACTTTCTGCCATAAGGGAGGTGTTATCTGTGTATGTGAAGTTATTGATATTTATCCTGGCAATCAATTTCAGCTTGTGCTTCATCCAGTCTGGCACTTCACATGATGTGGTCTGCATGTAAGTTAAATAAGCAGGGTGACAATATCCAGCCTTGACATACTCCTTTCCCAATTTGGAACCAGTCTGTTGTTCCATGTCTGGTTCTAACTGTTGCTCCTTGACCTGCATATAGGTTTCCCAGGAGGCAAGTAAGGTGGTCTGGTATTCCCATCTCTTTAAGAATCTTTCACAGTTTGTTGTGATCCACACAGTCAGAGGCTTTGGCGTAGTCAATAAAGCAGAAGTAGATGTTTTTCAGGAATTCTCTTGCTTTTCCTATGATCCAATGGATGTTGGCAATTTGATCTCTGGTTCCTCTGCTTTTTCTAAATCCAGCTTGAACATCTGGAAATTTTGTGTTCAGGTAGTTTTGAAAGCTCAGTTGGAGAATTTTGAGCATTACTTTGCTAGTATGTGAAATTAGTGCAATTGTGAAGTAGTTGTGCACAGTTGTGCAACTGTGTGTGCTGCAGTCCCTGGGGTGCAAAGAGTTGTTCACCACTTATAGACTGACGAACAACATTGTGCTGGATTGTCTATAATTGACTATTTATCACCTCATATTTTTTGAAAACAGGAAACTATGTTTCCAAAAATCACTTTCTAATATGGTCAGCATTAGAATTTTCCTCTATGGTTCAGGGTTAGAATTTGCTGTGAGAGCAAAATTTGGAAGATGGAAGAAAAGAAGAAATTATTTGTTTCTGGAGACTGTTGTGTTAAGGGTCAATGGCATCAGGCTCACTTTTTACCACTTTGCACTCCTTTTCTTCTTGGAGAGACTTTCCAGACTTCTCCCTAAACTTCTTTTAAAAGTCTTGGTGTACTTTGCCCAAGTTCATTTCCTCTTTCTGCCCCAGTACTCAAACGCTCTAATCTACCTGCTGCCTCATTCTCCCAGCTCCTCCCCATCTATGGATACCCACATTCCTAACCTTTACCCTGTATTCCCCTCATGCTTGTAGTGGCTGTTTTCCTGAAAGAACCCAGAATGACCATATGTTAATGGTGCCTCTAGCTTTAAGTGGACTTGAATCTTGTTTATTGCAAGAATCCCGATGGCTTAGCAACATTCGGATATCTGTTGGTAAAAACTCATCAACAGCAGGTCATGTGCTCTTCCTCCTCAAATAAGACCTGAATAACTAATTAATAAAAACTCTATCAAAGAGGTTTCAATAAATAGATGAGAGTAAAGTGAAAGTCGTTCAGTTGTGTCCAATTCTTTGTGACCCCACGGACTATATCCGGCCAGGCTATTCTGTCCATGGAATTCTTCAAGGAGGAATATTGGAGTGGATAGCTGTTCCCTTCTCCAGATCTTCCCAACCCAGGGAGCAAACACAGATAGATATCCTGCATTGCAGGTAGATTCTTTACCATCTGAGCCACCAGTTAAGCCCAAGAATACTGGAGTGGGTAGCCTATCCCTTCTCAAGGGCATCTTCCCAACCCAGGAATAGAACAGGTGTCTCCAACATTGCAGGTGGATTCTTCACCAGCTAAGCTACAAGTGAAGCAATAACTAGATACTATAATGCTTAATTTTAAGTATGTCTTCTGTCATATATTACCACCCACTGGATATGAATGTCTTTAAATGGATATTTATCAAAAATATTAGTCCCTTCTTAAAATATGAATTGTGAATAACTTTTAAATATCAAACTCTATGGGATTCTAAATGCAATGATTCTGAATTTCTTCTACACAGAGAGCTTTATTTTAACACATTTATTAAGGTTTTTATATGTGTTGGGGCATAGTGTTAGTATTACAGCAAATTAGTATCAATATAAAATATATTATTGATTTTTATTCTTTAAGATGACCCATTAATTGAGTGAAATAATTTGTTAATAAGTGATCATAATTCAAAAAGATGCCTTATTAGAGTAAAAGTTTTATTTTTCATTATTTGTACATGGGTGTATATATGTGTAAGTCACTCACCAAAAGAATATGAGTCAACCTGACCATACCAAGCCCATCTAGTGTGCTATTAATTCACACACTGACCCTAAACTGATAGAAAGAATACTGAGTTGATGAGATGTATATTTTTCAGCACTTTAAAGCAGTAATATGAAAACTGTTTTCTTCTTCTTTTTTTTTTTCCCACTGAAAAGCTTTTATTAAATACCCGGGGGTGGGGTGGGGCGGGGGGAGGTTCAGTCCTGCTGTTTGGTTCGGGGAGGCCTCGGCATTGGCCCGAAGAACAGCTCCTGGGGAGGGGTAAGGGCGTTGCTGGAAGAGGGGCCCGGCTGCTGTCGTGTCTGCATCTGTCTTGGCCTCATTCCGCTTGGGGAGTCCCGTTGACCATGTGCCCCGAGGTGCATCTGAATATGAGCTGGGGTCCATGGGGTCTAATTCTTCATCCTTCCGGCTTGCTGCCTTCTTGCTCTTGGGGTAGGGAGCCAGCTCCTCCCGGCGATGGTGGCGCCGTTCTTTGCTCTCTTCTCGGTCGTCCTTGTCATACCCGCGGTCCCGGTCCCGCGCTCTCTCTATCTACCTTGTCATAACCACGGTCTCGGTCCCTGTCAGTCTTCTCATGGTTCCGCTCTGACTTCTCATGGCTGCGGTCTGACTTCTCATGACCTCGGTCCGATTTCTCGTGGCCACGGTCTGATTTCTCATGGCCCCGATCTAGCTTCTCCTCAGCATCTGCATTACTGCTCCTGAGCTTCTTGGCGGATCTGGTAACAACAGAGTTGGGGTCGTGTGGGGAAAGCCAGGACACAAGATCTGTGTCCACATTCCAGTAGTAAAGAAGTCCGCGGGAAGGGTCAAACACCTTGCACCAGCTTGGTGGCAGGCCCTCCAACCGGATAGCCTCATAGTCCACAGCATTGTTGTCATAGTCCTCAGCAATGATCTCTTCCTCTGGTTCGGGCTCCAAATGTTTGAGGATGCCTCTCTTGGCCAAGAGGGTCTGCAACGCAACGGGCAGCGGCATATCGGATGGCAGACAGGCCAATGCAGTCACGCAAGTAGTGGACGACTGTCCAACTGGCCACCTCTCTCTCGTCGTCTCTATGAGCGCCAGGACCACACGACTCTCTTTTCCCAAAGCACAGAATGAGTGTTTCTCTCCCCGAGCTTAGAGGTAACTGGGCCGAAAACTGTTTTCTTATAGTAAAATAGTAAAATAATATTAAATAAATGCTTGTTAAAAATCTGTTACCAGTCAACATTATCAGAATAAAGATCATTTTTCATAGACATTGTAATAAATTGCTAAGTACAAATGTTCTATTTTGCATTTAGATCACTTATGGAAGTAACTAAAATGTAATGTTTTATAATTTACTCTATTGCTAGGGGTATTGACCAATAAATTCACCTACTGTTAGTTTGGACTTTTGGTTGAAGTTTATTGCTTTTTTGATCAAATTTGGTTTGGAAGGGAAATAAACTAATAGCAATAACATTAACTGGATAACTGCTAATTATTGTGAAAAATGAAAATTACACTGTCTTCTCTTAACTTTGGAAGATTTATGATATCAGATTACCCTAAACAGCACATCTAAATGGGAGATTTCAAGAGAATGCACTTTCCAACTGCTCAAAGTTTTCCAAAAATCTTGGTGTGCTAATTATCTAATTAACTGGGATAGACAGTCCAATTATAATTCTGAAGTTCACTGTGGAAGTATAATTATTTTTGTAATCATTAACTTGGCTTAATCACCTTTAACACTAGTTTTGTAGGTCCTCAGCTAATTGGTTTTACTAGCTAATTACTGAATACAGAGAAATTTGATTTTCATTAAGATCTGATAATATCTATTATCATCTAGGTAGGAACGTAAGGACATTGTGTACATGACACTAGATAAAGGTCACTAAAGGTCAACTTTTGTTAAACTCAGAAATTCTATAATGTAATTGATTTTGTAGGGACACATATAGATGCAAAGAAAGTAGTCTATCATTAGCTTCTAATGGAATCTTTGATTTTGTCTGCTTGTAAACTCCCTTTCCATATAAATTAAGTAATGTTGAAAAGGTCAATTTCAGTTGCAGCTTTCACTAAAATAAATTTGAAGTTAAACTTTTAGGGAAAAAAATGATAAATAAAAAAATGCAATGCCTTGTTTGGTAGTCAATATAACTTTTCCAATCCCATGTTTGCTTTTACTTATTTAAAGTTTTCATTTTAATATTTTTTTCATTTCAGTCCTTTATATATCTTTTTCCTAAATTTATTATTTTCTATTTTCCATTTTAAAGCCAATAGAGAACATCTTTAAATTTTAATACCAGTTATAATAGTTTCTGTTATTCACTTTGAAAAGTCAGATCCTGAAAGTCATTTATGTTAGCAAATTATATTCATTACAAATTCTGGAACCAAGTTCAATAGATATTAGTTCCCTTTGGATTACTATTTTATTACCTGAATGTAATACACTGATTTTTGTCCCCAACAATGAAACAAAATATTCACATATTTATGAAAAATAAGTACATGTCCCTGAAAGTATGCATACGAATACCCAAAGGCAGATACACTAAAATTTAAATTTATATTGTTAAAATATTGCCATCTGTCTTAAAAACAGCAAGAGTCTAGCCAAAATTTTTTCTAATGTGATTCACATGTTAAATTTTGTGTGTATATTAAAATATAAAATAATTTATATAAAGTGATCACACAAATCAGAAATTTAAAAATAAACTGTATAATCTATCCCTTTACCACTTCTGTTTGAACAGAAAAAAAGTTGTGTTTGTCGAGAGAAGTTTAAGAAATATTGCATGTATTTACTAATATCAAACTGCAAAAAGTCAGAATAATTCAAAATCAACAACTTGTGGTGTAGAATACAAAGAAGGACTAAAAATATGTAAACTACTATTGCTCTATTGCTTCTCACTTTCAGCAACAACCCAAAGGACAGAAGAAAACATACTGTCTCTGTCTTTAAGGAGAGTTGTCATCTTATTAGCAAAACTAAATGTAGGAAAAATTATCTAAATAATCAATTGAGAAAGTTCACAAGACATATTTATTAACTAAAGTGTTAGTGAAAAGTGAAGTCGCTCAGTCGTGTCCGACTCGTAGCAACCCCATGGACTGCAGCCTACCAGGCTCCTCCGTCCATGGGATTTTCCAGGCAAGAGTACTGGAGTGGGAAATCCATTTCCTTCTCCAGGAGATCTCCCCCACCCAGGGATCGAACCCGGGCTTCTCTCATTGTAGACAGGCGCTTTACCGTCTGAGCCACCAGGGAAGTTTTAGACATACCAAATTGTTTCAGTTTATATAAATTACATGAAATTTACATATTTTGAGCAATCTTTCTATTCTACATAGTACAGTTCAATTCAGTTCAGTTCAGTCGCTCAGGCGTGTCCGACTCTTTGCGACCCCATGAACTGCAGCACGCCAGGCCTCCCTGTCCATCACCAACTCCCGGAGTTTACTCAAACTCACGTCCATCGAGTTAGTGATGCCATCCAGCCATCTCACCCTCTGTCCTCCCCTTCTCCTCCTGCCCCCAATCCCTCCCAGCATCAGGGTCTTTTCCAATAAGTCAAATCGTCGCATTAGGTGGCCAAAGTATTGGAGTTTCAGCTTCAGCATCAGTCCTTCCGATGAACACCCAGGGCTGATCTACATAGCACAATTTATCTTAATTCAGACTGAAATAATTTGAAGACTGGAAAACATATTGGCAATATGGTACATGTGTACATAATATTTAATTCATACTTGGAATTAATTATTACACAGTTGCCCTTTTATTAATTAATGTAAAATAAAAATAGTCATTAATTTATTATGTAAACAAATGGGCAATAAATAAAATAGGTAATATATGCCAATGGCACAGAATTTTGAAAAGATACCTTGTGCATAGTAAGGTTACAAAATCTTCGGTTGCTAAGCTCTTCTGTTCCTCTGCAATGTCCACCATTCATACATAGTTAGCACTTAATTACTGTTTTTGCAGACATTTCTAAATGTATTTTACTGACTTAAAATATAGTATCATATAATACTCTGTTTTGTATATTGCTTTTTTACTTAAAATTGTTTTTTTTTATGTAAATAATTTTCAGTAGCTACAGATATTCCTTTAGAATGTTTGTAGCTATTTAACATGCCCCTTACTGCTGCATGATATTTTTCATTCTAGACATACCTTGTATATGTTAGTCACTCAGTTGTGTATGACTCTTTGGAACCCCAAGGACTGTAGATATACTGTATCTATTTACATGCATACATATGTGTATTCAAATGTACTTACATTTAAATACATATCACTGTAGACCCCTCTGTCGATGAAATTCTCCAGGCAAGAATACCAGAGAGGTTTGCCATTCCCTTCTGCAGGGGATCTTCCCAACCCAGGGATCGAACCTGGGTCTCCTGCATTGCAGGCAGGTTATTTACCTACTGAACCACCAGGGAAGCCCATACATACTTTAGTTTTCTACTTTAAAGAATATTTCACTAAATATTGTTATACCTAGATTGTGTCCCACATGTACAAGTACATATCTAAGTTTTCTGCTTTAAAGAATATTTTGCTAAGTTTTATTATATCTAGATCATCTCCCATAAGTCCAAGTACATCTGTAGGAAAAATTCACATATATGAATGGCTGCATCAAGGGGTGTGGTAGATTAATTTCTTTGTGTGTTTTAGGTACTCGGCCATGTCCAACTCTTTACAACCCCATGGACTGTAGCCCACCAGGCTTGTCTGTCCATGGGATTTTCCAGGCAAGAATACTGGAGTGGATTGCCTTTCCCTTCTCCAGGAGATCTTCCCAACTCAAGGATCAAACCCAGGTCTGCTGCATTGCAGGCAGATTCCTTACCTACTGAGCCATCAGGGAAGCCCAGATTAATTGCTTTAATGACTTGAATACTTCACATTCTCTGGCATCCATACTTTTTGACAGGTGGCTTTCAAGTTAATGTTGATAAACGAATGGCGATTATTTCCCTCCCCCTTGATTCTGAGTTCAGACACGTAACAAGTTTGTGGACCAGTGCAATGTTTGAGAGTAGGATGTAAATGTAGGCCTTAAAGACACTTTCAAGACTGGGCTTGCTTGCATTGGTACCTCTGCTTTCACCACACTAGCCTATAGTAGTAACATGGGAGACACCTGAAACAGAGAAGTAAGCCCGGCCAACACATTCCAGATAGCAGCAATGCAATGGAGACCAGACAAAACCAGAACTAACCTGCCTAAATCAGTGATTAACAGTTCTGTGAGAGCTCAAAACTACTGTGTTTAAGTCACTGAATTTGGTATGGTGTGTTATACAACATTACTATGGTAATAGATAGCTGATATAAATGCATGTGTGATTTTAATTAATAGCTACTGTGTTAGTAATAAGAATGATACTAGATTTTACTGTAACCAGTAATGTAAGAAAGCAAAGCACTATGCCACTAATTTGTTGTTCTTTGACAATAATTAATAGATAGTAGCTCAGTCAGTAAGAATCTGCCTGCAATGAAGGAGATCCTGGTTCAATTCCTATGTCAGGAAAATCCCATGGAGAAGGAAATGGCAACACATTCCAGTATTCTTGCTTGGAGAATTGCATGGACAGGAAGCTTGGTGTGTTGCAGTCCATGGGATCGAAAAGAGCTGGACATGACTGAGAGACTGAACTGAACTGCCTTCTTTTAATTGTACTTATTTCCTCCTCTTGCTTCTGATACAGGTTAGAATAGATAGATAATTTACATACAGGCAATTAATGATAAGTTGTGCTAGTTCTGGGAGATATGATATGAAAAGTGAATCTAAGAAAGAAAGTGATACTACCTGGTGGGAGAATGGAATAGTTGAGAGCAGCTGGATAAGGCACAGTGGTGGGGCTCTCCAGAGGTAGATAGTGAGCATTTCTAAGATTTACTGTATGTCTATTTATCCCTCCATCATATATCTTTTAAAATAATACATGCAAGTCTT